TCCTTTCTTTAGTTCTGCACTTAAGTTATGCCCCCGAGCCTTCACATCCTTGAAATTGGTAACAAGGAGTGAGAGCGACGTGCTCTGGTTGTTGCCCATCTTTGGACTGCTCCTACAAAGAGAAGGAGGGAGAAAAATGAGTGTGAAGCAGAGGGAAGTATCTGACAGCTCCGGTCCTGGAAGGGGAAGAAAAGGTTTTATGTTTCGTTTTGGACTTAAACTCAACACTTAACAATAACGGACAGACAGTGACAAACGATGAGCCTTCGCGAGTGCGTGTCGGACTTCCGACCTGAGTCAGACGGGGCAACCAAGGATGGAGGCCCCCAGATGGGCACTGGGGGATGTCTCCCACCAGTCCCGAGTGGCTGTCTTTTAGCGCGTCCGCCAAGACCGTGCCACTTACAGAACAGACCAATACAGATTACGGATTACAGGTTTCGCGAAATTTCAGGGGGACAGACAGAGATAAAGACAGAGACAGTGACAAAGCCGGCTTACCCAGAGATTAAGATCCATTGACTTGGGGGTCTGGTGGGCTTGGGGGAAATCCCGGACGAGCCCCCATTTGTTATGCCCAGACCGTTTATTCCCCGAAGAAGACCATCAGAGTCCAGAGTCAAAGCTAAGCAGCAAGGATCTTTATTACAGGTTCGAACCTGGAACTCTCACTCGCTCGCAAAACGAGACGGGCAGGAGAGCTCCCCCACTGAGCTCCGAGCAGTGTTATATAGTCTAAGAAAAGTGGGCATAGAGTTATTATACAAATCAGATATATGATTGGCTAGTGTTTGAACAAGGCGATTTGGCTAACTATGATTGGTTCCCGCCATTTCTGATATTTCGGTTCAACCTTTGAGGCGGGAGAGCAGGTTTATGGCAGCAAGAGTTTATCTTAAACACGTCTTGTGACCTTGCCTCAGAACTTACAAAATCTCTGGTATGTGCAAAACAAAATCTCTGGTACGTGCAGAAAAACAGGTACTCACAGAACTTACGAAATCTCTGGTATGTGCAAAGATTAGAGAGCAGAACAAAGGGTGTAGCGGGGGGGGGGCGGGTACACATCTATCTTTGTGTCCTTTCAGGATTACAGGCTTGAGCCACTGCGCCCGGCCTAAACTATCTTTTTTTAAGCATGTGGATGCTAGTGAATTATGAATTCAAAGGTTACTGTATCAATTTCATATTAACTGGTGGCAATCACAAAAATCTGACATCACCACCACTGTTCAGTTGACAAGACCACTGCTCCACCGTCTCCCATTCTGCAGGAGCCCCCAGTCTGCATGAGTGTCTTGAGGCGGGATACAAAGTGACCTAAGGTGTTGACTCTGAAGCTCGATTTCAAAGTCCACCTGCAAATCTTGCTAGCTGCAGCCTTTGGGCAAATTACATAACCTCTGTGTTTCCCGTATTCCCCATCTGGAGAATGGGAGTGATAAGAATGCTGTGTATTTGTTGTGAGGATTAAAATATATTAAAATTAGTAAATATATTTTGCCCAGGTGCCATGAATCATGCCTATAATCCCCGCACTTTGGGAGGCCAAGGTGGGAGGAACACTTGAGGCCAAGATTTCAAGAACAGCCTGGGCAACAGAGCGAGACCCTAATACTACAAACAACAACAGCAAATTGCCAGGCTCGGTGGTGCATGCATGCAGGAGGATTGCAGGAGGAGTTTGGGGCTGCAGTGAGCTATGATTGCGCCACTCACAATCACTGTGTTACAGCCTGGGTAGCAATGAGACCGTGTCTCTCAAATAAATTAATTAATTAAATTAAATGAGTTAATATATTTAACACAGTAGAGCAAAAGAAGTACTCAATGAATGCCAGCTATCTATGGACATTATTATATCCTTGTTTTCAAGGGAGAGAGCCCACTCCCTCTACCCTACAAGAGTATTGCATTCTGTCAATGTGCAATTAACTTAATTGCACATTTAAAAATAACAAAGAGAGCAAAACTGAATTGTTTGTAACACAAAGGATAAATGCTTGAGGGGATGGATACCTCATTTTCCATGATGTGATGATGATGCATTGCATGCCTGTATCAAAATATCACATGTACCCCAATAAATACATACACTTACTATGTACCCACCTTCCTTTATCCTTATATTTTTTTCCTTATGTTGCCTAGAGGTGAGGATGGCGGTAGCAGGGCTAGTTCTGGCATATCCCAGCATGCTCTGGGGAGTGGCAGCTGACCTCTTTTTGTGTTTAGAATGTGGGGTACTTCGTGCCTTCGGTTCTCAGTGTTGAGCCTCAGCCACCATCCTGAGACAACAGGAAAAAGCCCATTTGGCAGGTTGTCATGTCACTTTATGAGCTTAAACATTCAGCCTTCCAACATAGCTTGCTTTCTGCATGATCAGAGAAAGGAGGCACATCACCCAGTTTAATACAGTGTTCGTCAAAACAGAAGGCAGGACGCCTTGGCCTCACTCTAATATTATGTAAATATTCAAAATTCTTTTTCTTAAAAAAAAAAACAAAAAAACTCCCATGAACACAAAGCTCTTTAACCTTGTTTTTCTTCTACTGATTCTACAGGGAGTTGAATGGGTCCGAACATTTTGAAAATCACCATTTTAAATATCAAGTTAATATCTTAAATTCTACGTTTTTCAAACTTTCTGCTGTTACAGTTTAAGTCACATTTCCCGAAGCAGGCTTCTTAACCTGTTAGCTATAAGCAAGTTGAACTACTGGTGCTTTTTTGCTTTTTTAATGTTTATTTACTTGTTGGGGGTTTTGTTGTTGTGTTACTGTTTTTATCAGTCGAAAGCTTTTCTTAAATTGTGTTTGGCATTTTCTTCTGGGGAGAAGGAAAATTTTAAAAACAAGACCAAAAAAATAACAAACTTGCAGTTAGCATAAAATAATAACAAGCAGAAAATGTTGGCTGAAACCTCTATATTCACTAAGTTTTCCAGAGGCAAATGTTATAGCTAATCACTTCCATATTTGCCTGGAAAAGAGTTTGACCTTTGTGAGTCTTTAGTATTCAGCTCTTCGGTAGGAAATTAAATGTAAGCAAAAAGCTTCTTCCAAACAGGGCTAAAATCTGCTTACTTTAATAAAAGTTTTGTGCTATACACTTGACTACATGATGTAAACCTTATAACAGCATTGAACTAATTTTAGATAGTCATTTTCTCATTGTTTTGCTTCTTGTTTAATCGCCAAAACAGGATCCTTTTTGTAATTTAGCATGTATTTGAACACTTGTGCTTCTGAATGTTGAAAATAAATATATGAATAAAGTCTAAATCATTACAAAGGTAAACATCTCACCAAAGCAGTAGTATATGATCAGTCCCAGCCATGTGAAGGCTTTATGAAATGACCAAGGTTCTTTCTTCTTTTCTCTTCTGATTTCTATGGCCTATTCAACCTACTTAATGTGCAATATAGTTTATCTGTAACAAAACGAGAGAGTTATACATTCGGCAACTTAGTATCAAAACAATGAACATGAAAAAGAACTTTAAAATATACTACAAGAATGGAATTATCCAATCAGAAAAAAAATTTTTTAAAAGGAAATTCACAAAGCGACAGGAGTAAAAGTGTAAGTTGATGATGTCATAATATTTTTATTGAAATGTTTGTAGATGGCTCTTCTTAAGACTATCTGTTTATAGTGGCCACTACTTCATTCATCCTAAAACACAGTTTGCTATGCATCTAAACAATAGAGAGGTCTCTATTTGCCACATTCTCTAAGTCCGTACAGATCAACCTAGGTGAGACCCAATGGGTATTAATTTACATCACCCTCAGGTGGCTTAAGAAACAGGTATCACCTTTTGGCAGGGTGTGGTGGCTCACACCTGTAATCCTATCACTTTGGGAGGCCGAGGTAGGCGGATTGCCTGACCTCAGGAGTTTGAGACCAGCCTGGCCAACGTGGCAAAATCCCATCCCTACTAAAAGTACAAAAAAATTACCTGGGTGTGGAGGCACATGCCTGTAATCCCAGCTACTCGGGAGGCTGAGGCAGGAGAATTGCTTGAACCTGGGAAGCAGAGGTTGTAGTGAGCCGAAATCGCACCACTGCACTCCAGCCTGGGTGAAAGAGCAAGACTCTGTCTCAACGGAGAAAAAAAAAAAAAAAAGAAAGAAACAGATATCACTTTTTGGTGACAAAGGGGTAGCATGTTTGCTTCAGTGTTCAAAGAAATACCACAGCAAAAAAGAATTAAGGGATGAAACAAATAGCAGAAGCTTGCCGTTTTTAGCAAAAACATCTAAGAATGTACGGACTTTTAGAAACTTCAGTGAGCTAATAAAAAATCTAATGAGGCTAAGAGGTTATAAGATTTTGAGAAGATTACTATTTCAGGTTCATTTTCAGATGTCCAGCATGATTTCTCATGCTCTAAGTCAAGATAACCTGTAGTAACTTAGTTGTTTGGTGTTAATATTTCTGCTTTCATTTTTAGATTCATGGGTGACATAAATTTTACTATTCCGTCTGATAAAACTGTAAGTTCCACCTAAATATACTGTTGTTAACAGATTACACATAACTTGCTTTTTAACAAAACTCAGAAATTAGGGACTAGGCCAGGCGTGGTAGCTCACACCTGTAATCCCAGCACTTTGGGAGTCTGTGGTGGGAGAAGAGGATTGCTTGAAGCCAGGAGTTCAAGACCAGCCTGGGCAATATAGAGACACTCCCCATCTCTACCAAAAAAAAAAAAAAGTAAAAGAAAAAAGAAGAAACAAACAAAAAACTAGATTCTTACTTCACTCCCTTTTTTTCCTCCATGATTATATCACAGATTCAGGTGGTAACTAGTAGCCAAGAAAAGAAAACTTTCCTCATATCCACTGGAAGATGTACAAGATGCAATTTTAAAACGCTGATTTCTATACCATGTGTTATCCGTCTCCAGTGATATTGAATAGTCTCATTCAGAGCCTCCGCAAGGGGAAAAAAAGACATATAATGAATATTATATTACCTTGTTTTAAAAACAGATTGTTCAGAGATTTTCAATGATGGATATAAGCTCAGTGGATTTTACAAAATCAAACCTCTCCAGAGCCCAGCAGAATTTGCTGTTTATTGTGACATGTCCGATGGAGGAGGATGGACTGTAATTCAGAGACGATCTGATGGCAGCGAGAACTTTAACAGGTGTGCTCACTATGACATAAGAATTTATTTGTAGCAGCAAATGTGAGATTTATAAGTCAAATATTTTGATCATATCCTGAAGTCTATTAATAAGACAGAATTTCATTCTCTCTAAACAAGAATACTGAAAATGAATGAACAAATCAAGAAAATATTGGGGGTGGTGGTAGCATGGGGTGGGTGGTGCTCACTTTGGTACCACAAATGGAGTTTGCTAAAATCAGCTTCCACTTTACATTTTTTAGAGGATGGAATGACTATGAAAATGGCTTTGGAAATTTTGTCCAAAAACATGGTGAATATTGGCTGGGCAATAAAAATCTTCACTTCTTGACCACTCAAGGTAAGGTTTGAATGATGTCAAATTTATTTGGAATACAATAAAAACAACACTACAATTTTTTTTTTTTACCAAATTATAGGCAATGGAACTAATTCAATAATTGCTATGATTTACAGATGGTAGTGATAACTTTTGGGCAATAATCCCAAATGTAAAATGTGGCTGCCTAAAATTAGCAACAGAAAAAAAAACTAGAATTAGGTTGGGGGAATTGTTTTCTCATATATATGTATGAGAAATATCTATATATATAGATATATAGATATTTATAGATAGTGATATAGTCTATATAGATATATATATCTATACTTTGTGAGAAGTAATAAATGGCTGTTGATTTTAAGCCAGTAGCTTAAATATATCAGATATATAGATATATATATATCACTATATATATTAGATATATAGATATATATCACTATATATTAGATATATAGATATATATCACTATATATATTAGATATATAGATATATATCACTATATATTAGATATATAGATATATATCACTATATATTAGATATATAGATATATATCACTATATATATTAGATATATAGACATATATATCACTATATATATTAGATATATAGATATATATATCACTATATATTAGATATATAGATATATATCACTATATATTAGATATATAGATATATATCACTATATATTAGATATATAGATATATATCACTATATATTAGATATATAGATATATATCACTATATATTAGATATATAGATATATATCACTATATATTAGATATATAGATATATATCACTATATATTAGATATATAGATATATATCACTATATATTAGATATATAGATATATATCACTATATATTAGATATATAGATATATATCACTATATATTAGATATAATATATATATATATATATATATTAATATATAGATATATATATATATATTAATATATAGATATATATCACTATATTAGATATATAGATATATATCACTATATATTAGATATATAGATATATATCACTATATATAGATATAGATATATACATATTATATATAGATATATATCACTATATAGATAATATATAATCTAATATATAGGTATATATCACTATATATTAGATATATAGATATATATCATATATATCACTATATATCTATATATCTATATAGAATATATAGATATTCTATTTCTGAAAAAGATACAAAATGTCATATACTTTTTTGATGCCTTGAGTTCCTGAAGATTATATATACTGTATCAGTTATCGAATGTCACAATAATACCGTGTAACAATCCCCTTTCAAAGCTAGTGGCTTAAAATCAACAGCCATTTATTACTTCTCACAAATCTGCAGGTTGGCTGGGTGATTTTGCTGATCAGGGCTGGGCTCTGCTGATCATGGCTGGGCTTGCTTATGAATGTGCAATCAACTTCCTGATTGAAGTTGCTGCTCTAGGATGGAAGGATTCCACCGGGCTCCATAGGGTCTCTCATCTTCCAGCTGGCTAGCCTGGACTTGGTCTTGTAGCACACGCAGGGTTCCAGAAAAAAGAGTGGATGTATGTAAGTCTCTTGAGATCTAGGCTCAGAACTGGCACGGAATCATTTTTCTTCTATTGGTGAAAGCAAATTACAGGGGCAGCTCAGACTTTTTTAAAAAAGGAAATAAACAATGGGAGGAGTTATGAAGACATATTATGAGAGGGAGGTGAAAAATTGGGGAACTGGCGCTATTTTTCCAATAAAATACCATAATATATGAAATGTCCATGTTTCCACATACCTCTCATCTTTTATGTTGAAATTTTTTCAAAAATGCAATCAATTTGAAAGAAGTTTCAACCTATCACCTGTATCCTACATTAACATTTTACTTTGCTTGTTTTTATTACGTGTCTATCCATTTGCCCATTACTCAATCCATCCATCAATCCATCTTTTCTGTATATATATTTCAAAGTAAATAGCAGACATCTGGACAATTCTCCCTATATACTTTTAAATTCTTATCTTTAGAGTTTCATATTTGTCTAAAATGTCATTGCTTTGATAACAAATTTTCCAAGCTTCTGTCTCCCATGTTCTTTTGCTCCAATCCATTATCTTCCCTACCTCTGTTGTAGTCTGAGATTACCATCAGTCCCACTCAAGTCTTATCCTGAATCCTTCATAAAAGGCAACTGTAATGCCCAAGAAAGCATGCTAAGTTACACTGCAATTGCATTAAAAATAAAACAGCCGGGCATGGTGGCTCATACCTGTAATCCCAGCACTTTGGGAGGCCGAGGCAGGTGGACCCCATGAGTCCAGGAGTTTGAGACCAGCCTGGTCAATACAGTGAAACCCTGTCTCTACTAAAAATACAAAAATTAGCCAGGCATGGTGGCTCATCCCTGTAATCCCAGCCACTTAGGAGGCTGAGGCAAGAGAATTGCTTGAACCCAAGAGGCGGAGGTTGCAGTGAGCCGAGATTGTGCCAATACACTCTAGCCTGGATGACAGAGTGAGACTCCATCTCTAATAATAATAATAATAATAATAATAAATTAATTAAAATAAAACAAGAGTTCATTTTTTCCACCCAAGTTCTGGAAAGCTATTGGTGTTTCTATATTTATAGTAGTAGGATTATGGTTATAAAGTTCTTTGAGACACTAGAATAATAAACATTAGACAGGATGAGTAATCCTAGAAACCTTATACTTTCTTTATATGTCCTTCTTATGATCAGTGCTCTCCAAATTTATATAAGGCTTCCTTTCCTTCAACATATCTATTATTCTAGTTTTAAGTGTTTTACGCCAGATACATAAAATTTGCCATACCAACTTCTGTTTAATTTGCACGTTGATATTTGTCTGGTTTCTTATTGAAACTATGAAAACCCCAGAGCAGTAACCCTTGGCTCTTTCTAAATATATGAAATTCAAACTTATTATTTTTCAAGGTATTATGATGTACATATTTGCCCAGAGGAACTTTGCCAACAAACCTGTTCCCGTTCATATTTCAACTTGGTACTCAGGCTGGCTAATCTCATGGCAGTAAAAATGTATTTTTCAGTACCTAGGCCCACAATCATGTATCCCAATAACCCAGACAATAGGCAGTGCTTTTGTCTCTGCATTCTTTAATTATGAGAGCATTATGGCTAATGAATTACCTCTGGGAATGGCTTTATCCCCACTACATAAATCTTGACTACAAGTAGTGGCCATAAAATTGATTTAGAAATGGTAAATGTAATTTGTTTACTTACTGAACACAGAGGTATTTAAATGGTTAGCCAAAAAACTGAGACTCTATGTCTCTTCTATAATAGAGGTTTTTTTGTTTTGTTTTGTTTTTTGTTTTGTTTTTTGTTTTTTTTTGAGACAGATTCTTGCTCTGTCGCCCATGCTGGACTGCCTTGGCTCACTGCAACCCCTGCTTCTTGCTTCAAGCAATTCTCATGCCTCAGCCTCTTGAGTAGCTGGGATTATAGGCGCACACCACCACACCCAGCTAATTTTTGTATTTTTAGCAGAGACGGTGGTCTCACCATGTTGGCCAGGCTGGTTTCAAACTCCTGACTTCAAGTGATCTGCCTGCCTCAGCCTCCCAAAGTGCTAGAATTACAGGTGTGAACCACCGCATCTGGCCTGTAACAGAGTATTTTTAAAGACAGTTGACTCAGCCTGCCTTGCTGCTCTTATATACTCTACAGTCTTGTCTCACATGACCTTTACCACCTTGAGAGAGCTCCCTGGGGCAAGGAAATTGTGGTGCTACATTAACAAGCCCAAGAGAGGCCCGAATCCCCTCTTAAAGGGACTCCAGTCACGAGGCATCCAGCATTCCCTGCCCCACAGCCTTTTTTTTTTTAGATGGAGTCCCGCTCTGCCACTAGGCTGGAGTGCAGTGGCTCAATCTCGGTTTACTGCAACCTCTGCCTCCCGGGTTCAAGCAATTCTCCTGCCTCAGCCTCCTGAGTAGCTGGGATTACAGGCATGCACCACCATGCCCAGCTAATTTTTGTATTTTTAGTAGAGACGGGGTTTCACCATATTGGCCAGGATGGTCTCGATCCCCTGACCCTGTAATCCACCCACCTTGGGTGTGAATAGAGCTTGGATATGCAGCCTTGGATGTCCACAAGGGTATCCAAAGCCCCTTGCTATAAGTGATGGAGATGGGGATGGGAAGACAGAAGAGGCCAACCATAGATGCGACCTAGGTGGTAGGACTATTCAGGGACTCTCTTTCCCGGTGCCTCCATGGTCTGGCTTGAAACTCCAAGGAATGTGAGGCTCTAAATTCTAACCTGACCTTACAGGTCATTGTTATATCTTATTTATCAAAGTAGGAGGATAGAACACATATGATCTAATAATTTGATTTATAACCTTCAGTGCCCCAGACAAGAGTTCTGTTTCTGAAAAAGGAAGTCTTTGTTATTTCCAAACAGTGGAACAACAACAACAAAAAGATTACTTGAAGGTAGCAACTATTTTAATCATTTTAAAAACGTAATGCTCTTTTATCACCTAGAATTTTTACAGTCATTAAAGTATATCTTTAATGTTTAGAGATTTGTTGTCATCATATATCATTCTTTAGCATATATAAAAGTGAATATATACCCAATACATTGTATTCTTTTTTTTTTTTTTCCTGAGATGTAGTCTTGCTCTGTTGCCCAGGCTGGAGTGCAGTGGAGCAATCTTGGCTCACTGCAAGCTCTACCTCCCGGGTTCATGCCATTCTCCTGCCTCAGCCTCCCGAGTAGCTGGGACTACAGGTGCCTGCCACCACGCCCGGCTAATTTTTTATGTATTTTTGGTAGAGACGGGGTTTCACCATGTTAGCCACGATGGTCTTGATCTCCTGACCTCATGATCCGCCTGCCTTGGCCTCCCAAAGTGCTGGGATTACAGGCGTGAGCCACAGTGCCCGGCCCCATTGTATTCTTAAAATGCTTTTACATGTAGATATCAACTCTTCAGAAATACCTTTTTACTCAGAGTCATTGATGTTAGTGTATTTTCCAGTAATTATCATCATCTCCGCCATTGAGAATATTGGTGGTACAGCATTTCTCAAGAATGTTTCCTTGTTGTCTCTGAAATTCTCCAATGACATCCACTCTATAAACTTTGATGTTAGTCTCTTGATCTTATGAGCTATTATCAAAGGAAGGTTTTCAGATAACAATTAGGATTCGTATTTCTTCCTCAAATTATTCTTAAAGGGTTTGCTGGCTGATCTTTTATGCTATCAGGAAAATAACCAAGTTCGGGCATATGCAGGTAATGGCAACTACATTTTACAAACCTAGTGGCTCAGCTACAAAAAAATTACACGATGTCATTAATAGTTGCCATTTACGTTCAAGATCAACATTCTTACTGAATCAAGAAATCAAGAAAAAGAGGACAAACTATTAAACGTAAAAACGTCAGTCCTTTCATTGTTAGATTGATTTAAGTAATGACTTATTTTTTCTGTTGTTCATTATTAAGAGAATTGCACTAGCTTTTACCTCTGAGAGATCTAGTAGACATTTTTTAAATTTAATATTGTATCCATCATTTTCTTACAATACATTACACGATAAAATGTTCATGTTATAAATACAATGGAGTCGCTGTTTAATCCTTGAAAACCGGTTCTTGGCCAAAGGAAATGGTAAAAGTAAAATAGAGCTGTGAATTATTTTTAATCCGCTGTAGTCCGTGTCATGTCACACATTTTTAAAAATTATAATTTCTTGTTTCATTTTTAGAAGACTACACTTTAAAAATCGACCTTGCAGATTTTGAAAAAAATAGCCGTTATGCACAATATAAGAATTTCAAAGTTGGAGATGAAAAGGTACTACAATTTTCTAATAAGTAAAACCATAAATAAATGCTTAAAATGTGCAATAAAACCCTGGAGTCAGTGGAAATAAAAATACACAATAGAGCCTGTTCTTTTGTTTATGAAATAAACTTCATTTTAAAATGGCCATAGAGGAACTCTACTGACATTAGAAATTGCTCTTTTTCTTTAGAATTTCTATGAGCTGAATATTGGGGAATATTCTGGAACAGCTGGAGATTCCCTTGCGGGGAGTTTTCATCCTGAGGTGCAGTGGTGGGCTACTCACCAAAGAATGAAATTTAGCACGTGGGACAGAGATCATGACAACTATGACGGGAACTGCGCAGAAGAAGATCAGTCTGGCTGGTGGTTTAACAGGTTTGATGTCTTATGAGCATAGTCGTAATGGAGTTGATGATTTCTCACTGATGGGCATTAATTATCAATATAATATGTATGGTCATGTTGGTCTTTATTTATAATATTAGTATTACTAAGTAATCATTAGAATTCTTCAGCAATGAAGTAGTTTTGAGGATTTGTTCATTGTGAACATTAGTAAAGTTTAAATGTCATAGAAATAAATTATTACTTCTACAAAGATCATTTGCAAACTGAATTATGGATGAGTTATAAATAGAAGGCCACAAATTCACACAAAGAAAGAGAGAGCATCTATACATAAGGAGAATATTTGGCATCCTAATAACCAACTAGTTCTTCACCTGACCATATCACACAAAAGAGCCACTGTTATTGCTATAATGTTTCTGTAGAGTACTACTTTTCAATCACTATGGCTTTCATTAATTCATTGAATCCAAGCCTCTCCCAACACAAAAATTTCCTTAACAATAATCCTGAAACCTAATTCTACCCTCTGACTGAATACATTCGTGTTACTTTAGCAGCAAATTCATTCCATTTTTGATTGTACATATTTGCTTCTTTTTTTACTGATACAAAATATTTTATATATTTCTGGGGTACATGGGCTAATTTTTCAATTTTTGGTAGAGATGGGGTTTTGCCATGTTGCCCAGGCAGGTCTCGAACTCCTGGCCTCATGTGATCCTCCCACCTTGGCCTCCCAAAGTGTTGGGATTACAGGCGTGAGCCACCGCACCCGGCCTAATTCATAAGTTTTAAATCGCACGTCATTCTGAACAGAGATTCACACCATTGGATTCATTCTGCCCAGGAGGTGGGTCACCCCTTTGTCTGGCGTCTCCACACTGAAAGGCCTCCCTGCCCGAGACACTTAGTAGCAGTCTCAGTTATCAGATCCAGTGTTGCGATTTCAGAGTGCTTGTGTTCGAATCATGTTTATTTGATTTAATAATGGTCCCAAAGCCCAAGAGCTGTAATGCTGACATATTGCTATATAATCATAATATTTTATTATTAGTTATTGTTAATCTCTTACTGTGCCTAATTTATAAATTAACTTTATTATAGGTAGTATATTACAGGAAAAAACAGAGAACTACTATAAATTTTTTTTCCCTTACTACACCCACAAGATTTTTCCCCCTAGTGTTCTGAAATTTTACAGTGACATACACTGTTGCGGTCTTCTTTTCATTTACTACAATTAGTACTCAATGGTTCTTTTCAATCTATATGATGTCCTTCAGTTTAGTAAATTTTATTTTCTTTATCTGCTCGTTAGTCACTTTGTAGCTGTTTCAGTTATCAGACTGAGAAAGCATAGTATCGGTATATAGAATTTGGTGTTATCCATAGTTTCAGGCATTCGCTAGGGGTCTTGGAATGTATTCCTTACAGATAAGGGAGTACTACTGCGGTTGTAAAAAATAGTCATTTTTTTTTCTGTATTTTGCTTTTTTAAAAAAATTTTGAGTCCATTTAATATTTGATCATTTGTAAAGGAACTGGAGTATTTCCAATAGTGTGAAGGAGAGAAACAAATTTCTCTCTCCTGCTTTGCAAATTGGAGGTGATGATAGTCTTTTCCTTAGTGGTTTTCCTGTTATTTTAAAAAACCATCTTCTTCACCTGTTCCTACTCCTCCTTTCTTTCCCCCTTGTCCTTGTAAGTTACCATGACATAAAACTTACGTGTAATTCATGAAGTCGTCTGCAAGCATCAACAATGTTTGATTTTGAAAAGAATTCCATATACAGAAATAATTACTAATAGTATCATGAGATCAAACCCATGTACTTTATCCAGCTGACTAGCTTCTCAGGCATCTGAATGAAAACTACCATACATACTAACGTGGGCAAAGGAATGATTTACCTGACTTTAAAGATATGGGTTCAGGGAGAACCAAGAAAGGCAATTCATTGGCTGGAGCCACCCAAGGAGACTGCGTTATCCTTGGAATCAAAGGAGTTGATAAGGCTGTGCAATTGGAAAATCAGTAGGCATTAAGAAAGAGAAAGTAGATTGTTCTAGAAACTTGGTGCTACTTTTACCATGCCTACTATTAGTGAGTTTGACTATCATCTTTTCTTCCTTTTTACTCTTGCTTTTCTTCTGTTCCATAGTTCTTCTAATTTACATGAAATGTTGGCACTTCATAAATACCACCCACCTATAAGATGTTCTTTTTCCATATAGCAAACTAATCACTGTGTGTTGATGTCTTGTCTTTGTTAGCATAGCATTTCACATGAGCATTCACAGCCACTCCTTCACCAAGGGAACCCCAATCATCCCCCAATCTAGTTTCAAATCCAGGCTGTTCTAAAAATTAAAGGATGCTGGAAAACTTGTCTCAGAATAGTGAAGGTTTCTTATGTTGATCACAGAGTTAGTTTCCTAATGGGATTCAAATCATAGACCAAATATAAAAATACAGTTAGCAGATATCTCTAGATAGACAAATATATGCCAAAATATATATTCTGGAGACTCAATTTACAGTATTTTCTTTTGTAACATTACTTTCCATGCTGTTTTAAAAACACAGTAGGCTTTGACATGTGCAGACTTAACGTACGTATTTTTAATTAATTACCTCCATTTAAACTAGGAGGACTCTGAGAATACTCAGTAGGAGTGGATCGTTAGGCTGATAAGTGATTCAAGCCAGCCACTCAGCCTTTATGGGTAGATTATGTGCTTTTTTGATTCAATAATTTGGGTTTTTCCATAGATATTCAGAACTCTCTCTTGTGAATGTTCTCCTTCTATCCTAATTCTGACATCTTTTCATTAATTGTATCAATAAAGAAGTATATGGTAATTAATTTCATAATAACACACATAAACTTATTGCATACTCTTACATGTAAATTGTACATATCAAGGACAAAATTTACAGACTCCAGAGGAGGAAAGAAACATTTTTTATTGTCGATAACCTAACCATTTTATCTAGATTGGTGCAATATATGTAAAAAATTAACTCAGCAACTAGGATAAAATGATTATTGGTTGATAGGTGGGAAAACTTTAAATGGTGGTTTAGGTTTTGTTTGCTTACCCTTGAGATTAAAAGAATTGATATGCTAGTAATTTGAAGAAGAGGAGGGAGGGAGTTTGAATTACGAAAGCTAAGTCTTAGCAGCTGATGAACGAACGTGTGAGTGCAAATTATCCAGGAAAGCCAGCCGTAGAGTACCTTGCCCACGTCTTACTTTGCCGACACTCACCTTAGCTCTTGCTAAGTATGAGATTAACACTGTTCTGAGTCAGGAGGTCGTAAGGCTGGAGGTTACAAGGATTGGTTTTTGTTGGCTTGTTTTAATTTTTCATTTAAAGGCAATCAGAAATTGAAATGCTTATTTTTCAATGCACTGTGAGTGGCCTGGGTTGTTTTTTCAGATTTGTTATGGCAGTAAAACTCACCAGTTTAAAATACCCATCTCTGAGGCCAGGCACGGTGGCTCACACCTGTTGTCTCAGCATTTTGGAAGGCTGAGGCAGGAGGATTGCTCGAGCTCGGGAGTTCGAGACCAGTCGGGGCAACATAGAGAGCCCTTGTCTCTATTATTCAAAAAAATTAAAAAATAAAAAATAAAACACAATATCCATCTATTGTAGACATTTCTCAGCTTTTGGAAACTAGTAAATATTTACTTGTCTGAAAAATGGCAGAATTCGTAGTTCAAAACTTTTGGGTATTTGCTAGCAAAATAAAAGAGTTTCTGAACAATATTTTTCCAGTCTGATTGTTGTTTTCTTTTTTTTTTCCTCTCCCCTCCTTCCACTAGGTGTCACTCTGCAAACCTGAATGGTTTATACTACACTGGCCCCTACACGGCTAAAACAGACAATGGGATTGTCTGGTACACCTGGCATGGGTGGTGGTATTCTCTGAAATCTGTGGTTATGAAAATTAGGCCAAATGATTTTATTCCAAATGTCATTTAATTGTTGCTGTTGGGCTTTCATTTCTGCAATTCAGCTTTGTTTAAAGTGATTTGAAAAATACTCATTCTGAACATACCATGCGCAATCATAACTGTTGTGATCATTCTTCTCGCTTGCCTTTGTTAATGTACTTTCAGTACAGCAGATATGCTATATTCACCAAATAAACATAGATTGTATTAATATTTATTGAATCCCTGTGTGCAAAAGGCTCTGATACAAGCTTATGTCAGACAAAACACAAAAAGCATAGATTATATACCATGGCTTAGGATATATAAGCATAAATGCATAATAAATTAAGAATGCAATTGGCAAAACACATGACAAAATCTAGCAAATAATGGATTGCCGAATCAGCTGCAGAGACCGTTAATATTATGAGTTGGGATTTGAACTCAGGTTTTGGATTACAGAGTGGAAACTTTTAAGCACAAAATGGGATCTTAATCACTATAAAACACTACTTGTATTTTTAGGAAGTTTATGTAGGTTACACACTTCTCTCACAGGGCTCATTTTAATTCTTATGCCAATCCTGTGAGGTTATTATTATCTCCATTTAACAGAGCTGAGAATTAGTGGGTCTGAGTTTTTGTGACTGCTCAAAGTTACAAAGTAGGGGAACAAGACCTCAAATTCAAGTCTTCTGATGCGAAATCAAATGTTTTGCCACCATCCTATAGCTTCTTCTGGATAGATTTTGGATTGGTGCAGAGTAGGGAGAGAACATTTCAAATGAGAGTAAAAGATACTCCAAAAGGCCGGGCACGGTGGCTCACGCCTGTAATCCCAGCACTCGGGGAGGCTGAGGCAGGCGAATCACTTGAGGCCAGGAGTTTGAGACCAGCCTGGCCAATGTGATGAAACCCCATTTCTACTAAAAATACAAAAATTTGCTGGGTGTAGTGGTGTGAGCCTGTAATACCAGCTACTTGGGAGGCTGAGGCAGCAGAACGCTTGAACCTCGGAAGCAGAGGTTGTAGTGAGCTGAGATCGTGCCACTACACTCCAACCTGGCCAACGAAGTGAGACGTCATCTCAGGAAAAAAAAAAAAAAAAGATACTCTAAAAAATATTTGTGTGCCAACTACGTGTCAAGCACAGAGAGTTCAAGTCCACACAGAGCTTAGCTTTTTGGTAAATAATCATAGAATCACAAAATATACATAATTTTAAAAGTTGATACGTATGAAGTAAAGGTATGTGCCTGGGAAATGTATACCAGGAGGATCTGACCTGGCTTTGGGGTAGGAGATCAGAAAAGCTTCCCAGAACAACTGACTTTTTGAGCTGAGACCTTTTAACAAGGTGTACGTGGGGAGATATTGCAGGCGGAGGGAATCACGTGTGTAAAGTACACAGAGCAGGAAAGTGCTTGGGAACAAAAGATTAGACAGCCAATATAGTTAAGTGATCCTTAAATCCTTAAGCCAAGGATTCTGCCACTTAATAGCTATGTGACCTTGGGTAGGCAACTTGACTTCTCTGAGCCTTAGCTATCTCATCTACAAGATAGTGATTACAATAGTACCTGCCTCATAGGGTTGCTTTGAGAATTATAAAAGTGTAACACTTAGCATAATGCCTCGCACAGAGTGAGCGTTCAATAAGAACTAGGTGTGATGATTTGTGCCTTTGAAATCATAGACCACATAAGGATATTAAGGTTAGTTGTCCTTCATTCCCTAAATCAGCGTTTCCCATGCAGCACTTCTCAGATTTAGTATCATACAAATCAACCTAAGACTTGTTAAAATGTAACTCTAATTCCAGGATGGAGCCTAATATTTGGGTTTTCTAACAAGGTTCCAGATGATGCAGATACTGCTGGTCTAGAAATTACACTTGGAAAAGCAAAAAGCTAGAGAGCCGTAGTTCTGTGAGACACTGGGAGTTTAGTACAGAAAAAAGAAAAGGGCTGCTTGATCGAATAAATTCAGGAGATGACATACTCAACAGAATTCCACAGGTTTCTTCTTTTGGGAATTTCGCAGTTCTCTAATTTTCTAATGTGCATTCTGAAGTTCCAAGAAGGACATACGGTTGTACCATTTTTATATCTAATTAAGAGTGTGCTCTGCTGCAAGGTGTAAATCGCCTGATGATGGAAGTCCAAACAAATAAGGATTCATTCATCTTACATAGTGAGAACTCAGGAGGTAAGCAGTTGCTGTCCTATGTTCAGGGCAGCGTGCAGTCTGATGCTGCAATTCATTTAGCCCATCCTTCAAAATTGCAAATTACCTACTGCAGTTCCCACTTTGAGTTCACGTTAAAAGCAGTAAGAAAAGCGAAGGGTCAACAGACTTCAGTTTATGCCTTGTTGGTCAGAATTGTTTCATATATTCACTCCGTCTGGAAGTATGATCAGGAAAAAGAAGATTTATTTTTATGATGTCTATAGAATGTGCAGGCAAAGGAGAAATGTTTGCCAGGGTTCTTGATTGTTTTGCAGTGTGGTCTTGTGGGAAGAGTGTTCCATAGAACACATGTTGGTAAGCTATAAATAATGGATCATCAGTGACAATTTTAAATACGGGCTTAATTGCTCAAGTAGTAGCCTGAAGAACTCACACAATTATGAGATCAAAAGAAGAAAAGCTTTTAAAGGAGAAAAAAAAATGATTCCACAGAGAAGTGGGACGGGAGCTAAACAAATTATGGTGTCGAACCTCAGTATAATAGTTTTTCAATGCAGAAGGAGTGATTTTAAAAATTTAAAATGCCATAAAATAATGGAAGAGAAGTTCTAATGAAAGATCATTGGAGTTAGTGATAACGTTATTTGTGTTCTTAAATCCATTTCAGTGGAATGGTAAGGAGCTCTAGGCCAGGAAATAAAAACAGTTAGAGAGAATAGATTAGGGCCTGGCGCAGTGGCTCACGCTTGTAATCCCGACACTTTCGGAAACGAAGGTGGGCGGATCACCTGAGGTCAGGAGTTGGAGACCGGCCTGGCCAATGTGGTGAAACCCCATCTCCACTAAAAATACAAAAATTAGCTGGGCATCATGATGCATACCTGTAGTCCCAGCTACTCGGGAGGCTGAGGCAGAAGAATTGCTTGAACTGGGGAGGTGGAGGTTGCAGGGAGCCGAGAATGGGCAACTACAATCCAGCCTGGGCGACAGAGTGAGACTCCTCCGCCTGTAATCCCAGTACTTTGGGAGGCCGAGACGGGTGGATCACGAGGTCAGGAGATCGAGACCATCCTGGCTAACACGGTGAAACCCCGTTTCTACTAAAAACACAAAAAATTAGCCAGGCGTGGTGGTGGTCGCCTGTGGTCCCAGCTACTCGGGAGACTGAGGCAGGAGAATGGCGTGAACCCGGGAGGCGGAGCTTGCAGTGAGCTGAGATAGCGTCACTGCACTCCAGCCTGGGCAACAGAGCGAGACTCCGTCTCAAAAAAAAAAAAAAAAAGAAACCACAAAATGAATGTAAAGTGTATAGTCCATAGAAGAGTGCTACTTCATTTGACATTACAGAACTTATGGCCACTGGTTATTTCTATGAATATCAAAATATTGGAACCTACAAAATCAATGTCTAAAAACAGCATCAAAATCAAGATCCTATGTACTTACTTTTTCTTTTTCTTTCCTCATTGCTAGTAAAGAATTTACAAGAGTCGGGCGTGGTGGCTCACGCCTGTAATCGCAGCACGTTGGGAGGCCGAAGTGGCCTGATCACCTGAGGTCAGGAGTTCGAAACCAGCCTGGCCAACATGGTGAAACCCTGTCTCTACTAAAAGTACAAAAATTAGCCGGGCGTGATGGCATACGCTTGTAATCCCAGCTGCTCAGGGGGCTGAGGCAGGAGAATCGCTTGAACACGGGAGGTGGAGGTTGCAGTGAGCCGAGATTGTGCCATTGCACTCCAGCCTGGGCGACAGAGCAAGACTCTATCTCAAAAAAAAAATAAATAAATAAATAAAAGAAGAAGAAGAATTGACACATGAAAATATCCTATATAATCTTATGCATATAGCAAAGTTTTATCAGGTGTTTTATCAGGACTGTGAAAAGTAAGTTATGTCCTCATTGATACTTTAAAAAGATTACATATCTCATATATACGTGGAAAAAATCTGCATGTATATGTGATAGTGGTTACCTCAGGGCTTGGAGATGTAATGAAAGGACACTCCTTTTTATATTTCCTACCATTTAATGCTATGAAATATTTTGTCATTTGTACATAGTACATATTTAATAATAATACTTTTTATATAAGCAAAGTGAATAAAATAGGTTGTTGGTCCTGAAGAAACAAATCAAATGACATTAAGGATATGAGTCTATCAGGTATATTACACGTAGGTTTGGCAATTTAGTTCATTTCAAAAACAAAAACAAAAATCCTGAAGCTAAACTGTTATCAAACTGCGCTGTGAATACAGCAGTCACCAGTCACATGTGGCTCCTGCTTACTTGAAATAAGGCTAGTCCTTATTCAGACGAGCTATAAATATAACATACACATTGGATTTTGAAGACATAGTATCCCAGAAAAAGAGAAAATACCTCCAAAAATAAGAATAATTTTTAGGTTGTTTACATTGTTAAATAATACTTTGGATGGATGAGGCTAAATAAAATATATTACTAAAACTAATTAGGCCTCTGTACTTTTTAAAAGTCATTATTAGACATGTTAAAATTATATATATTGGCCAGACACGGTGGCTCACACCTGTAGTCTCAACACTTCGGGAGGCCGAGGCGGCCAGATCACTTGAGGTCGGGAGCTTGAGACCAGCCTGGCCAACATGGTGAAACCCCGTCTGTACCAAAACCACAAAAATTACCTGGGTGTGGTGGCGCACACCTGTAACTCTGGAGCCGGAGGCACGAGAATTGCTTGAACCTGGGAGGTGGAGGCTGCAGTGAGCTGAGACTGCACCGCTGCACACCAGCCTGAATGACAAAGCAAGACGGCCTCAAAAAAAAAGAAAAAAGAAAAAAATTTAAAATTACATATATTGCTCTCATTGCCAGCTTATCTTGTATTTTTATTTAAACAGTAATGCCAAAGAATTTTCATCCACCCTTTATACGGTGTGCCTACAATGTGCATAGATAGTATATGTCTGTTTACATGTGACTATTGAGTGAATTAATGTTTTTAAAAAACTAGATATACTTTTCTTTTTTAAAAAATATATCAAGGCTAGACACAGTGGCTCACG